CGACATGTCTAGTTGTTTCTTTGGTGCAGACTGAATTCTATCAGTCAGGTTTGTAATGTGGCCACCATTCTAGGTAACTCGCTATCACGGTGCACATTGATTTGATGATATTAGATGGTTGGAGGGAATCGGCAGGAAGCCTTGGAGCTAGGTTTCGTTCTAGTTGACATTCACCAGTCAGCAAGGCGTATCTACGACCTTGAAGGGAACTCATGTCCCCCAACCATCTAATATCATCAGAAGAATACACTGTACCACTATCCAGGTAACAAATTACTAACAATCATAGGTCTTATTTAATGCAGATTAAAATTTGGAAACGATCATAAGAGTAAATTCAAGTAATTTCTAGTCATCTTAATCATTTGAGACAATGTTTGAAAGAGTTGTACTCATTGTCTCCCTCTGTGTCTCTAGACACAAACAATTAACACACAGGAATGTCTTCTCAGTGAGATGTACTCATCACTTGTAATATGACTGTTTCATCAATAGCCTATTGTTAAATCTAGTCACTTTTATTGTTATCGTACTGCATACTCCACGTTAGTTTCAAGACACATTCATACAGAGAGGCAGAGAGAGAAGGTTACTCAAAGAGATTACAACAACAAAAGAACAAAGGTCAACATATTTGTAAAACAAAGTTACACCCTATGGTTTCTCTCTTTTACTTTTCATCAGTATCATTGGTGATTATCTGGTTTTGTTATAAATTTTTATTTGGGTTTTGTTTTGTTATTTTGACACTTTATGTGTGTTTGTGTCAACCAGTAAGGGTGTCGATCTCTGTGACTTCTATTCATTATTGTCCATTTTTAAGTCTAATCTGTGTGTGTGTGTGTCCAAACACTTTTAGATCAGTAATGATCACAAAAGCGATTAGTGTGTGTAAATGAGCACAGCGGGTTACCTGAGAATTAAGAATTATATGCCATTGAGTAACACTCATTTCTATTTATAAAGAACAATGACTTTATTGACAACATTTTTCTCACCTTAACCATCAATTAGTACAAACAGGCAGTTATTTCAGTTCATCATTAAATATAGTTTTCACTAATTGGTTTGTCAAGTCTAGATTTGTTTTAAACGAGTTGATCACGGATTGATATCAGTTAGAGGACCATTGAAAACCACCAGCTGGGAGTACTGGACAGCTATTTCCTCCATCCTACTTTGGGAATCATCGGAAGTACGCACCCACTCCACAGCCAGGGTTCGAACCAAGTACCTTCCGGTTACAAGACAAGCTAACTCGCATATCATTCAGCCACCACTGTGACCCGACTCCTCAATGGCCAGCCAGCCAGCCAACCCATGAATTCTAACTTCTACCAATTCGTGATTAGTTTAGGGAGACTGGCACCAGCCTTTGTCATCGGTGGGACATCGATCCTCACACTCACTGGTCGCAACTTCTTACTAAAGCTCAAGGAAGCTCCGTTCTGTAGGAAGTCACTAGCGAGCATCAGATTTAATTTTTTTAGTTTGTTTTGTAAGGATCAGATTTGTTTTTGTGAGTACTGTTGAGGATTCACAAACTAGGCTGATGAGACAGCTGTCTAGTACTTCCACTTGATGGTTTTCAACGGTTCTCTAACTGATATCAATCCGTGGCCAACTCGTCAAAACAAACATACTTTTGTTGTTGATAGTTATCATAAATGACTGCGTATCAGTTTTTTTAACTGATTAAAAATGCCCATTAAAATTTTCAAAAGAATGGATACTGAACAAAGAGTACTCTTTTCGATAACTTTATCAGGCTCTACAGTTATACATACATTATAGGGAATAGATATGATAGAGAAGATTTGTAGCTCAGGTGGATGATTTTGATGTGGTTTTGTTCTCTGAGCTGGATGGTTAATTTGCGAAGCTTCCATCGCCACCTTTACTAGGTGACATCTTCAGCGCATACTTCAATTTGAAGTGAGCTTTTCGATTTCTCCACGAGTTTATTAATCATCTCTCCTGGTGACCTTGGACGTGACTGGTTGTTTTTGTGTGTTTTCACGCCTTCTAGGTTACTTGTATTGGAACTGATTGTTTCTTTGATCTGAACTTTGACCCTTTGTGTGTGAAGTTTCTTTCTTATCGGTTGATAAATTTTGTCTATCTCGATGTGTCTATTGATTGATGATTCACTGGAATGCCAAGCTTCTAAAAATTCTCTAGCATTCTTGTTGTTTCCTCTGTATAATATTTGAACGTTGTCCCAGTCGAATTGATGTCCGTGGTTGTCCGTATGCAGTGATATGAGGGAGTGGATATCATGTCTTTTGACGGCTAACTTATGTTGGACTTGTTTCTTTTGCACACAAAGTACTGGTTGTTTCACGCGAATTGCGATAGCCTCTGCTATTTGTAGCATGCGGTACCTCTGTGTTTTTGGTAATTTATTTGGTACTCGGTAGATTATAGAGAAGGATTCTTCTACGCTGGCTGACTTTGTGTCCGGTTTGCACCAGATGGTTCAATATCGAACTGTTAATGGTTTTCACTACACCTTTACTTAGCCATAGTGGGAGATGTTCTGTTTACATGGAAACGATTGTGGAACCATTCTTTTTTTTTTGTGAATTTACCAAATAAAACCTTGGCCTTTTGTAACAGTGCTAACAGGCGATGTGTGAGGTAATTTACTTGGACAACGGAGAATATGTGTAGTTCACATTATTGCTTTCATTTATGTTAAGTCTACTGGGTTTTCAACTCCACTGTGAAGTCAGTGCTACTATTCGAATCAGAGACTTGACGCGTCATAAAGAGCATCTCAAACAAACTACAGACCTTCATTAACAGTTGTCTTCACTCAGTACTCAAGATCAGACGGATGGTCAGAAAAGATCAGAAACAGGGATCTCTGGCAATGAAAGAACCAACCCAGCAGGAACCGATTGTGCAACAAATAAGCAGGAAGAAATGGAGATGGATTGGTCATAATCTGAGGAAATCATCAAGTGTCATCACTAGACAAGCCACTGCTTGAGTGGAACCCGAAAGGGAAGCGGTGAGTTGGTCGTCAGTGCTGGGGTGACTTGGAGGAGGTGATGTGAAGAGGAGATGAAAGCGTGTGGGCAGACGTTGAGTCAGGTGAAAACTCTAGCAGAGAACTGAACGCAATGGAGACGCATGGCTGAAGCCCTATGTTCCTCTAGGAATTAAAGGAAATAATAATAATAACAGCAATAATAATTAAGAATGATAATAATCATTAATAGTGTTAGAACGAGTTAAGACAATGGTAATGATAAAAGATAGTTTTAAATAAATCAGAAATAGTACTAATAAGAAGTAGAATAAAATAATACTACTACTACTACGACTACTAGTAATAATAACAGTTAATAAGTAAAACATATTACCATGGCAGATTCAGAGTGACCACCATATCCTTATGTACACAGAGACCAGCTTTATAGACTTTAATTGCACAAGCCTCTTCAACTGCAAGCATTTTCCTGTCTGCTGACAATAACACTGAATGACTTGACAGCGCGTCAATATCATGTCCTTCGTTGAAAAGATGCTTTATCAGTGAACTTTTGGGCACTTTGACTTCAGTCATTTTTAACCACCTTGGTAAATGCTCCATCATGCGAGTAGACAGTCGATTTTTGATTGGACATTAGTCAATAACTAGTGTAATGTGTGTGTGTGTGTATCTAGTCCTATTTTTGGTGCAGGCAGAGTTCTATCAGTCAAGTTTGCAGTGAGGGTCGCTATCATGGTTCACTGTGAATTGTCGGTATTAGATAGGGCTAAACACAATAGTTACTGACTAGTATCCTACAGTCCTACAGAAGGTTAGTCGCGAGCCCAAATCGTTCAGTGGCTGACTGGTGAGTGCTTACAAACACAAAACCTGGGTTAATCAGGTAAGGCTTCCTGTAGCTAATTGCCTCCAACCATCTAGTACGAGCAAATCGGTATTTTGTACCACCTATGCATTTGCTTCACAAATATACTCAAACTGATATACGCAGTTTGAAGTGTCAAGAATCGGCAGCTGACCTTCTGCAAACTGTTGAAGCATCCATTCAGTAGCATTGATGAACACCAGTTTTTTAGCATGATAAGTTCTTCTGATAGCTTTGTGGCGTATTCGTTTGACTACTTTTTGTGCAACATCTCCATGAACGGCAAATCTATATACATCGATAATTTTTTTTTTGATTACAGCTTGATTCCACACTGTATTTTTGGTACAAGTATGGAATTTTCAGCATGGATATCGGTAGCCTCTCTTTTTTTCAGGCTGACTATAGATATCAGGTGTGCGTCGGCAGGGATCGAACCTCGGACCATGTGCATGGTCGGCGAGAGTCCTAACCACCGTGCCACCGACAGAAGATAAGGGCCAGGCAACAGATCGTTTATTGACAAAATTAAGATATATTTATAGATTTTTATGTACATTATTGTCAACGGGGAAGCGATGTCTCCTGATTGGTTGTTTTCTTGCTGAAGGTTATTCTGTACTGTTTGCGACCGTTTCTTAGAAACTTAAGCCATATATCTGGGAATCCTATTTACACGCGTTGATTCCGCTGTGATTGGTTGGCGAGTACCTCAGGGTTAAGCTTTGTTATTGTTTCTTCTCATAACCCCGATTCGGAACGTGATCACTGACGTAAATTGCTGTCTACAATTTTGGCTTGTTCGCAGCCAGCTCTCACCACAAAGTAGCTAGTCAAAAATCGGATAGTTTAAACTGAATCGGCTCCCTGAGGTGAGTCAGACCGGGCACACTGCTGATCATCTCGACCTCAAACTAACGGGACTGCCGTTCGGTGTTCAAATCACCTCGATTTATCTGGCTAGGAAGCACTACTGGTTGATTTAAGTAGTATGCAGCACTATGCAAATACTGATCAGTGTGTAGATTGAGAAATCCAGTTTTAATCCACGAAACCCAATAATTATTCTCATTTGATTTCACTAGAATTGACCATAACTTTGGATTTTATTTTCTATTTGTTCTTCTCTTTCAGTATTTGAATTAATAATAACCAGAAAAAATGAAGAACTTTACAATAGTAGAAAATATTTACAAGAATCATCGAATAACTCAACAGTTTGGAGTGAAGCATGCCATTCAAACGATAACATTCTTTTTGGTCATAGTTTAAGTTGGCATCGTGATACTCCACCATGGAGTCGAAATACAACATCACATTCAAAAAATACATTGATTGCTAAAGTATGGATCCCTGAAAGACTCGATTGCATAAAAGCCAATTGAGTTAAGTGGAAAAATCTGTCAATTCAAATAACAAAATTTATTCAGTTTATTTGAATGAAAGCAAATGCATAAACAAATTTATCCTCGAAAATTTGATCAGCTGGCCACCTGTTGAATAATTATAATAATAATATTAATCTTGTAAAAATATACTACTTACAATCTGTATTAGAGTAGTAAAAATGACCAGAGTCAAATTTAGCACTCATGCAAATTCAGATGTACAACATACTCATTACTACATTAAAACAATAAATATTAAATTGAACAATTGAACAAAATAGAAACATATTGTTTAGAAAGTGCTTAATATTTACCTGTAATTTAAAAAAGAAAAGTCTTTGAGTAAACATTATCTCATTTGAATGCTGAATGACCTTTCTTCCTCCCCTTTTTATTATTTCACTACTGAATTTCTTTAAGAAATCATGGGGACAGTGTGTTTCCCATATTGAATTAACAGATTAACTTTTTTCTTTTCGTTTAATTTTCATATTTTTAAATCTTACATCCTATTCAAATATAAAATTACTTTCTCTACTCCAACTCTTCTTGTTTTCTACACCAGGTTTTCAATTCATAAAGAAACTTGAGCAAATCAAGCGTAAAACTGTTCATCGCTTTAGTGATTTTTGTTGTTGTTGTTGTTGTTGTGGTGTTATGGTGTTTTATAGTGTCGTGTTAGCAAGAATTATACCTCAGTTAGGCGATTATTTTTTCTTTTTAATTTTTTTTTGCTTTTGGTTGGCTAGTTAAGTAAACACACATGGCGAGTAGGACAGAGTTAATTTGATGTGAGTAATTGGAGATTTATGTCGAATTGAAACACTTAACACTTAATACTTAGTCAATAATTGTTTTAATCCCTTAGAAGAAAAAAGAAGTCTGGTTGTCTAATTTGAAGTTCCTTACAGACTTTTATTAGTTGTGTTTATGTAGATTATAGATGAAATGACTGACTTTTTTCCTCTTCAGAAGAATGAAGTAGATTTAAGCAACTAGTAGTTTTTTATTTTGAAAGGCTTGTTTTAGTCCACACATAATTTTTTGGATGTAATTATCACTGGCCTTTTCAGAAGTACTTCTAATGATGTCTTCCATTATGATACAACATTTAGGCACTTTAATTGTTTTCTATGGGTCTTTAATAACTTTCCAACTGCCTGTTCTTTATCACTGAATCTGGTATTTCATTATAGGATAAATTTATTTTGATAAAGTCTCACACTGTGCTTGTTATACAGTAATATTCACTAATGTGACCACATTTCGAACACAATTTATTAATTACTGCTCATAATCATATCATCACACAACTTTCTAGCTTTGTTTATATAATTCCATTATTTTTCATCACTTGATTTGATTGATGGTAGTATTTTCCATATTTCCGGTATGAGTGATGGGTCATTGCATCCTATTGCATGTGTTGGGTGTAGACTCGATGAGTCAGACAGGATTCAGTAATCAACCATCCCTCTCCTCCTACATAGATTACTTTTTTAGAATTTTAACCCTCCCCCCATCGTATTGTGTGGTTGTGTGTTAATGCATGCAGTGCCATGCAGCGCTAAACGTTTTACTAAATGAAATTACACGTCAGGTCCTCAAATGGAATCCAAATTGGAAGCGACGAGTGGGTCGTCATTGCAAGGGTGACATGGAGGAGATCGTGTGAAGAAGAGATGAGAGATTTAGGGCAATCATGGACCGAGCTGAAGAGGACCACAAAAAAACAGAACAAAGTGGAGATGTGCTGTTAAAACTCTATGTTCCACTCGGAAGGTAAGGCAATAATAGTAATAATAGTACTTATTCCATTTCGAGAGGAGGACAAGTGCAGGATAGTTAAGGACACAAATATACAGAAAATCAATCCACATAGATTAAATACTTAGTTTCAACAGTAAATATTCAACAGTTCATGAAAGAAAGAGAATGCAGACATTGTACACAAAAGACCCAGGGAATGCTTCATGCAGCACTTGTATTTCTTCTTTGTCTTTTTAAGCGAAGTTTAAAAGTGTCGAAAATCTAAAAATTTTGATGCAAACAGACTGAAAATAGAGTAGCGTGTAATTTAGCTGCTTTTTCATCCGTTTTTCTATAAATATTCCTCTACTTTTCAAAAGTATTAAAATGCTTTATTATTTCAAAAAAAAAAATTTATTGAAACATTTAACATACATAAAACTTGTAAAAATATATAAAGTCTGTATGTGCGTATGTGTGTGCATGTCAGCAATAAGTTCGGGAGATTTAACAGTTTATTGACTCTCTATTTCATTCTTTATAAAGTTGGTTATTCTTGTAAAGCTAATTTGTGAAAATTTTCCTTCCAATTTACATGATTACAGATGATGTCAAGTGGATCATCTGTTTGTATTCGTCTTATTCCTTGAGCGTTGATTGAACAGCCTAATTGCATTTTTCCATCATCTAAATATAAATTGAATGTATTATCAAAACTCATCAATTGTGTTAGTTAAAGATTAACATTATGATAAGCTATGCATCTGTTGGTATCAGATGGTGAGAGGCAGTCGGCTACAGGAAGCCTTGACTGACTGACTGACTGACCTAGGTTTCATGCTACTAGCTGGTAGTCATCAGTCACCACAAGGCGTATTTGCAACCTTGGGTTGGAATCTCATAAGGGATATAAGTTCCTTCGGTTCTACCTAAGAACGAACCCAGGGTCTAGGTGACTGGCGTTTACTGCTGATTAGTTCAAAACTTGGACAAAGTACTTACCTAGTGTTCCACAATTTTTCAAGGATTTTCTAACTGGTGTCAGTCAGTAACGAAATCTGCTCTGAAATTAACACATATTATGTTTTCGAAAATTGGCTTGTAAGGATCAGATTTGTTTCTACGAGCTTGACCACGAATTGATTGATATCAGTTAGAGAACCATTGAAAACCACCAACTGGGAGTACTGGACAGATGTTTCATCCATCACACTTTAGGAATCATCGGAAGTACGCACCCCCCACCAGCGTTCGATCCCAGGACCTTCCGGTTACAAGGAAAGCTCGTATACCATTCAGCCACCACTAGGACCCGATCCCCCAATAGCCATCCCATGAATTCAAACTACTATCATTTCGTGACTTAACGGGCTTACCTTGTAACTGGAAGGTCCTGGGTCCGGATCCTGGCAGTTGGTGCGTACTACCTATGTTTCCTAAACCTTGATGGAACAGCTGTCCATTACTCCAGTACTAGTTTTCAATGATTCTCCGACGGATATCAATCCGTGATCAACTCGTAAAAACAAAAGTAATCCTTACAAACCAAATATAGAAAATTAATCTGATGTTCTCTAGTGACTTGCTACAGGATGAAGTTTCTTGGAGTTCTAGTGAGAAGTCGTGAGGTTCATCCAATCAAGTGTCAGGATGGATTTCCTACCAATGACACTGGTTGGTGGTCGCGCTAAACTCATCACAAATTGGGAGAAGTTAGAATTCATGGGCTGGCTGGCTGGCTGGCCATTGAGGAGTGGAGTCTCACTGGCGGCTGAATGGTATACGAGTTAGCTTGTCTTGTAACCGGAATGTCCTGGGTTCGAACCTCGATGGGTTGAGCGCGTACTTCCGATGATTCCCAAAGTAGGACGGAGGAAACAGCTGTCCAGCCTTCTCAGCTGGTGTTTTTCATTGGTTCTCTAATTGATATCAATCAATACGTTGTCAAACTCGAAAAAATATTATCTTTACTGGAATACAATTTTGGGAATTTGTTACCTTAAGAATATTTAGTCATACTTTGAGAGTACACTGAGAGATGTCTAACTATCAAATCAAGAAAATTGAATCAAGATATATAAGTAGAAAAGAGGGAACTATGCTAACATTACTCCTCAGAATTCGTTTTAGATTTCTTAAAGAGAGAATCATTAAGCTAAAGAGGAATACAACACTATCGAAGTGTCACAGCATAAAGACAACTTTGAGGTACAAACTGATTGATAAATTATTTTTGTTACCCTAAGAGGAGTATTGAAACATAGAAAAAAGGTAAAAAAATTTGTCAATTAATACTTGATGATTGTGTATTCAATCACTTGAGTCAGAGTAGGGGATCAGGCGAAATTGTGTTGCCACAGTGTAAATATTAGTTATTTCAGAATGACATGTGTACTGGGTTATCATCACCAGGGAGATGAGAAACACGATGCAGAGAAATACTGTGTGGTTGAATATCAAATTTTCTGTTAATCTACCAGCAACCTGCATTACATATGTACGGTGGAGATTTACTAGAACCTCAACCGTCACTGTAATTCATAAAGGCAAAGGTTTAAATGTATAAAAGCTGAATGTTGAGCATCTTGTGGATACAATGATGTGTCCTTACCTACCACGTTACTTTTTCACATGACGAGAGATATAACTCTTAAGGGATTAGATGTTTTGCTAAGATTTTATATTTTTCATCTTTCTTATACTTTTTACTGAGAGTGAAATAAAGAACATGAAGAATTTTTGAAATTCAATTTTGATTTCCCTATCGATCGATTGAATCGAAATGTGTAACCTCTGTTGAAATTTAGGTTCCTAGTACGGATGCCTTGACGATGTCTAAGAATTAATTTGAAATAATTTGTTGGAGTGCGTCGATAGCATAACGGTAGTGCTCGCCTACTACGCAGGTGGTCCGGGGCTCAATTCCCGGCCGATGCAGACTGCTTAACCTCAATTGGCCAGTAATAAGACTGGTAAAGAGGCAAGGTTGGGCATGAGGCTAGCAACCCCATCCTGTAAAAATAATAACCAGTGCTACAGAAACTCTTGACGCCTCTAGCTTGAAGCCCTATGTTCCACCAGGAACGTAAAGGAATAAAAAATTTTTGGGGGAGATCTATTTATTTTATTTTTGATTACAGCTTGATTCCGCACTGTATTTTTGGTACAAGTATGGAATTTTCAGCATGGATATCGGTAGCCCAAATTTTGCAGGCCAACTATAGATATCAGGTGTGCATCGGCAGGGG